TGCCGGGGCTCGTGGGGCTTCACCCGGGAGGGTCCGCGCCGCGCGGCCTGCAGGCCCCGCCGCCGACCTGTGCCCGAGAGCGCCCGGCGCTCCTGGGCCTGGGCGGGTCGTTGCTTCACAGCATAGAAATGCCCTTAGAGCGTGGAGAGCCGCCGAAGGGAGACTTTTAGGTCTCCAGACTGAAAATTACTTGTAGAGATTTTTTGGATCCGCTGGAAAGTGTTACAATAATTATTTTTTTTTCTCCTCAGGAAAAAACGGTGTCTTGAACTAAAAAGTAAGTTAAGTTCATTTTGTATAAAGCCACACAAAGTCATTAAGAATGTTTAGGCTTTATTTATTCATGATATAGTTAAAGCAGGGCTTTAAAAACAAAAATAATTTCCTTGTCTCAAAACTAATTTTATCTACCACCAGCTTATAGAGCTAATATAAATGAAGGAGAAAATCTATTGAGACTCAATCATGGTTTAGTTTTGAAACAATCAAATACGAGAGTTGTTGGCTGTTGATGATGATACCTCTGAATAGGAAGTGCCGTCAGATGCGAGAACTGACGATAACCTTCTTACTCGTCTGAAACACAGCTGCCTGCATGCGGAGTTTGAGTTGTCTGGAAGTTTGCATGCTAGAACTAACTTTGATCTGTGCTTTCTGTAATAAGTGAAATTATAGTATTTGTTATAGCTTAATATCCTTCTCTTTCATTTGTGCTGCAGAGCTTGGTATTTCCAGAGAAATGTGATCCCTTCAGTGCAGGGAGCAGGCAGCTCTCTGAAAGTAACACTAATGTGAAGGTAAGCGATGAGTTTTGCTGGACCATTTAACTTCTAAACAGGATGGAATCTAAGCTAAGAATAAATGAGGCTTATGGGGTTGCCAAGAACTTCAGAAGGGAGTTTTGTAGATTCATTTTAATAGTTTGGAACGATCTGTTTTTCCCTATTCTGTTCCTCACAGTTCAAGGCCCCGTGGTATTAAAGGCCTAGGATCTGTATATTTAGATGGAGCTAGCAGGCCTCGGCTGCTGCATATTAATTGCTGTTAATATCTGTTAATAGATGTAACAGTTCTTTACAAGTCATGTGGAAGAAGGCAAGACTACAAGAGCAGGAGATTCTTCTAGGTGAGTTGGGAGTTCTGTGCTCTCCCGAGTTTGTTTTGACATTTTTTTGGCCACATTCTCAAAACATGACCTTTCAGCAGCCATGTTTCTGTGTAGTCTTGACTTTAAAGGTGCAATAAATGAAGTCACAGGCCAAAATACTGTGTGAAATACGTGTGTAAACAGGGTTGTCTTTTGTGCTACAGTTTTGCTAATGGTACTGTAGAATGGGAAGAGGGATAAGGTATTGTTTCTGTTAAAAATATCAGTTAATCTAAAGATATCATATGATGAAATTAACCAAAAATTGCTGGAATTACCGGCAGATTGACTGGTGGTGATGCAAGGTTTTCTGATGATATCTCTTAACCTTAACAGCATAATATTTAGTGTTGTGCTGATAATTTATTCATGCTTCATGCTGTTATTGTATTGCAGGTGTCTGTGTGGCGGAAATGCGATGTCTGAGGAAGAAGAAAGCCACTGAAATAGGGCAGTGAGCAGAGGAGTAGTCACCATAAACTTGTGTGTTTTCCTGTACTAAGATTTTGAAGAATATTAAAAATGAAGCTGTTGCGTATATATTAAAATTATCAAAACGAGGTGTGTGTTTTGTCTTCTTTTACTGTATGAAGGGATGTTTTATGGAGAGATAACAGTATTGTGTAATGGATTAAAAAACATAGCATTCATAATTGATAACATGATAAGTGCAATATGATTATTGTAGATAACGTATATAGATTTTTACCTGTATAAGCGTTCCATTGGGTTTGATAATTTCTGGCATTAAGCAATTAAAACAAGGGCTGCCAATACTGCTACTGTAATTAGTACAGAGATTAGGCCCTAAGTACCACTAAGAGAGAACATATGAGACAAATGCAACTATTTAGCTTAATGTTTTAAAACTTGACTAGAACTGCAAAGCTGACGAATAGAGGATTACCCTTTTTTTGAGAAAGACTTAAAATGGAGGTGCTGGAGGAAAATGGTATCTTGAGGCTGAAATTTCAGTTACATTGGTGTACTTTATGTGACTGGGAAGCTCTATGGCCTTGATGCTCTTTTTGGATTCGTGGGAGGCGTTGGGTTACTGCAAAGTTGGCAAACCCGAAGGGATTGAATGTGTCCACCAAGACAGCCCAACAGTGCAGAAGCTCCTGGAGATTCTGCCCACTTGGTGGCATCACATGAGAGAGCTCAGTCTGGAGCACGAGTTTTGAAAAATGCAATAATAATAAAGTAGGTAGCGCTGCACAGGTAAATGAACCCCAATCCTTCCACAGGGCACCCCTGCAATACGTGGGGCTTCCCATAATCACTCGACCTGGGCGATGGCATAGGCAGAACTTGCTTGGAATTAATTGGCTTTGTTGTGCTATTCAAACATGCATTCAGATAGGAATGGGTTGCTCCAGGGACATTTATTTCAATTAAAGTTTTAAATAAGTTACATTCTGTTCCACTGGTTCTTGAAACAAAACTATTTTTGTCCAGTTTGCAGAGCTTGTGCGTTAGAATTTGTTGACAGAAGACATTTTTTAGCCCGTGTGATATGCATAAGAAATGGGTTTATAGGGTCCAGAAAGAGCACAAGGAACTGAGTTCTTCTGAAATGAGATTCTGGCTGCTATTAATGGTAGTGGAGCCAAGGAGGGTCTCAAACCCCAGTAAATGGAAGAAACTCAGCAGTTTTTTGCTCAGTTGTTTAATGTGCTGTTTAATTTGCCCAGGATAGCTTTGCTGCAGCTTGTTTTTCTAATTGTTTCTTCCTAGTATGTATGGCATTATCTCATTAAAACAGGGAATAGTTGATTTGGGAATACTTAGGTAAACAGGAAACAGTTTATCTGAGTTCATTGAAGTTGCAACTTGGTGGAATCTGTTATAGTTAACTATTCATGAGTTCCATTTTGTTATTACTTGTTTATTGTTTTCATCAAAAAGAGGATTCCTCAGCAGGGATCAGCCAAAAGGCTGTTTTTGTCCAAGATAAACAGAACGTTTTATTCCTATTAGAACATGGAGCCTCTGGAACAAAATAGG